TTCAAAGGGAAAATCAGACAATTATTTTATAATGAGAGGTGTGGTCTAGTGATTTGAGCATCAGACTGGCAGCCAAAAACCACGGGAGTTTTAATCTGGCTCTGACACTGACACCATCTATTGCCTGAGGCTAATCAGCATGGGCTTGACTGAGATCTCTCCTATGGGTGCAGGAGGTAGGGGCTGCTGCAGAATTCCTGATGCAATGAAAGTGAGCAGGAACCCTTCCCTCCGCAGCCCCCAGCTCATGGCCAGCATCTTCCTGAGCTGTGGGACAGCGTTCCAGACCAGAGGAAGAATTTCAACCTATGCAAGTTCACCCCAGGCGAGCTGAGGTGCAGGAAAGCCATAGTTGCTAAGTGCTGTCAATAAAAGCTTTAAAACCTCTTTGCATAAGCATGTTTGAGTAGGCCTCCACTTTGAAGAAAGCCTGCTGTTTAGGTCGAGGGGTGAGTAAAGCCAGTCTTGCCTTTAGAACACTCCCGGCACCTGGGGAGATTTTTATTTCCTTTAAGCACCTTGTAGTTAAATTTTTAGTCATTGTTTTCTTTCTTCCTGTGCGTGCCCATCCCCCAGTGACCCCAGCTCTTCCCTGTCCTTTCCTTCTGAGCACAATTCTTCCTGTCTCATTGGGTTGTCTGATTTTTTACCCTTGATTAATACGAACACAGACAAAACTCTCATCCTTGGGGATCTTAATTGGAAGGTTGATTGCCTTTTCTTCTTTGCTTGTACACTTTCCATCACTTTAGGTTCCTTGGGGTCCACAGACAGACTTTAATTTCCCCTCCCCTTCCCCCCCCAACATTCACCATCATTTTCCTGATCTTTATTCGCTTGGGGCTTGACTCCTTCTAATATGAATATTAGGCATCTTGCCATCCCCGATGACAGATCGGCTCTTTGATGTGTCTAATTATGATGGAGAGGGGGCAGAGAAAGCAGGACCTCCTGAAGCCAGGATAAATTTGCTGTCCTTATAAACTCTAAGCAGTAATATGCTCCTCTGCTTCCCCTCTTGCATGTGGCAGCATCCCAAACTCCTGTCCTGCCCAACCCAAAACCATTCAGTCAATGTCCCATCCAAGGAAAGTTTCCACATTTGAACCTGCTTAATTTGAAAGAGAGAAGATGGTAGAAGGTAGGAGGAAATTATGACAGGGAGGGGTTGGGAGTTGGGGAATGGGGAGTTGGACCTCAGCTTTGCATGGCAAAAGCATAGGTGTCTGTCTGAAAGCAATCTAGTGAGAGGAGCTGGTTCCTCCACCCCACATAACTTTCCCTCTGTCTTGTTATGACAGTGACACTCAGCACTCACATCAATGCTTTGCAAAACTTATCAAATTCTACCTCACAGTACCTTTCTAAGTTGAATTTTTATTTCATTTTTATGGATGCTGTTAAGAGGCAGGAAACACTGCTTTAGGAGCAAGAGGCTTAGAAGCACTCAGTGATCGAAGTCACTCCTGTTGCTTTTACGTTATTTAGGTATTTTCAGAGAATCCCATCCCAAATTCCTTCCCTTTGGTAAAGAAAAATATCTGTGGCAAATCAGCAACTGGACTCATTCTGGAGTTTATGACAGCCAGACCTCAGCTGAACCCATGGCTTTCCTCCACAACTTTAAACCCCTCTGTCTGGCTTTCTCCAGGGAGCAGCTGCCTTTTTTAGGAGGAGGAAGGAGAGAACGGTGAAGAGAACGTTTAGCACCAACGACTGCTTCAAGTCTGTACTGTTGAACTCATACTGTTCTCCTTTGCACCTGTATGCCCACAGAACTGTTGAACAGTTCTTACCTGTACTGCAGTAATGCGTCAGTGCCATGTTCAGGACCAGGGCTCCATTAGTTAAATGCTTTATAAACACATGAAAGGCCGTGGTCTCTGCCCCGAGGTACTTGAAGCCTTGTTAGCAAATCTCACAGACGTTTCTTAATATGAATTTATTGCTGATCTGTCTGCCCCAGAGCCTGAAATTCTTTATTTATCTGCCAAACAGGCATGGCGGGAGTTTCAGCATTGCTTCCTCTTATGATACCTGGCTAATGTGCTTCCAGCCTGGCCCACAGTGATCATCTCCTGGGAAGAAAGAACCTTCCTGCCATTCAGCATTCAGCCCTTGATCTTTCTACTAAAATGGGAAATCAGTACTGCTGAAATGAACACTGATCAACACTGACAAAACCTTTCACCTCATCTCATGCAATAAGCTGGGGTTACGTCTGTGCTGCTGTCCTTGAGCAGAAAGTCTTGAGTGGAAAGTTTCCTACCATTTCTCTCACCTCTTCACTTTTCAGAGCAAATGCAGAAGCCTGCTTTAAATTAAACAGCCAGAAGGTGAAGGGAAGTAATGTTCTCATCTACAGAGTGACAGCGTGAAAGGCAGTGGTGATGGGATCGCCGTGCAACAGAGGTAGAGCGAGTACAGGGAACATCTATCAATATTTACTGAGCAGCATTGTTTTTCCATTTCATGTTCCTCAGCCCTTCATCTTTACAGAGCCCTGCCCTGTAATAGCTCTGCGCTTATTGCTCTGCATTGCCAAACAAGAAACCTACTTCCTGGCTCTGATATTTGTTGACAAGGATGAAGAAGAGTGTGGAAGCCTTTCTCTCCACGGCTCCTCTCCATCCACACCAGAGGAGAGATTAATAGTTTCTGAAAGCATTTCCACCCTGCAGAAAAGGTCACCACAGTGCTGGGGAAGATGTATAAACAGCAGTCCATTGGGACTCTAATAACATGGGAAAAACCTCCAGCACAAGAATATTACCAAAGCAGCTCTACCAGTGGCACCTTCAGAGTGGTGGAGATAGGCAGGTGATGTTGCAGGTTATTATTTTTCCCAAAGAGTAACACAATCCCAACATTTCTGCAGGTGATTTTTTTTTTTTTTTAACTAACAGCTTTTCTTTGCAGTTTGTCATGATGTGGACTGTGATCTGTGGGGCAAGCTGCTTAGGGCTGTGAGGGAATATATCCCTGTCACTTTATCTTCTGGATTCAGTCAGCTGACTTTTGAATTCGCTCAGCACTGTGAGTTATGGTGGGATTTTGCTTTAGCTTTTTTATGCCAAGCCTATCATCTCAATATTGCTCTGGCTCTGGACAGTAGAGTTAGCCTGAATTAACTTGCTAGATATTCCTGTGTATGCTTTTTGTGTTTCACACAGCTTTTGGGGCCTGATTTACTGAATACCTTAATCCAACAGCACTTACTTCACTTTTGAGGCAGAAAAAACCTGCCAGAAAAGCTAGCAGAAGCTTAGTGAGAGCAGCACACAAATCTTCATGTTGGGTTTTCCACTCATCGATTTAAGATGGGGAGGCTGCATTGCTATGTGTTTACATTCTAACTAAATTCCATATAGATGATGTGTATGCACAGACCTACACACACACAATACAGTTCGTTATCCTGAATCACAGAATCAAGCTACCTAGGTGCAGTGTTCTTTTAAAGTCAAAATGGTTGGTGCTCATATTGCTGAAAAGAGAGGAAAAAGCATCTGAAATGGACTGATGCAATTTTGTCAGTTTATCATAAACTACCAGACCCAAGCTACGAGAATAGCTGATCCTGACAGATGCTTGCTGTTGGAGTGCCCACATAGGGAGAAGTCTGCTTGTGAATCTGGTAGGGGGCACAAAGACAGAAGAAAGTTGATCTGTTTTATCCTGTCAATCTAAGAATTTACTTTGCAGGTCGTACGTTATCTGTCTGTTTATTTAGACGATGAAACCATCAGTGTCATTGATAGAATCAAATAAACCAGTAGAGATGTTTTCCTTTCTCGGTATTCTTTGTTGTTGCTGGAGTATGCATTTCTGCCACAAAAACCTTTTTATGGAAATAATATTTTGTTGTGAGCACCACCATTTTGTTTTGTAATTATTATTTTGTTTTACCCTACTCACACAGAAAACAGTTTGTGCTATATTCCATTGAAAGATACATTTTAAGTTAGCTCTGCTAGTCATGAATAATGTAAATTGACATGAACTGAGGGAGGTAGACAAAGAAACAGAAAGTTAAGTGGTTTCCTTTCTTTTTATGGCAGAGTGACATTTACCTGTAAGTACATTTGATTTTAACACAATGGGATGAGTCTCTGCTGTGCTGGATTAGGATTGAGGCTTGTGGAGGAGTTCAGACAAAGAGTGGGCACTGAGAAATGCCCTCGCCAGACCTCTCCAGGGAGGCTACTTCAGCAGCAATAGCACGTCAGAATGTCTTTTTTTTAGTCCTTGTATCCAGCTGACAAAATCTTTCCTCGTTTCTTTATCTGTAATTCCAAGAGATCTCACAATGTTTCCCCCAGCTGTCTAACAATCTAATACTTAGTGCTTGTCACATCACTTTCCAAAAGGGGGTCAGTGTCACTTCCCACTCTGACAGCCAGGGAAACCAAGGCAAAAGGAACCGACAGATGAGTGAGGGTCATTCCAAGACCCACAACCAGTATGCCTGGTGTGCACACTCACATTCCCCACATTCAAGCAGCAGCTACAGATTTCCCCAGTTCCCTTATTCCTCAGATTTGCCAGAACTGTGCAGGTGGAGTCTAGCTCCCTTGCACTCACTCTAGGTTTAAATCAGAAATAACTCCAGTGGGTTCGATTCGCGGTGTTGTAAATGAGAGTGCTCCCCTTGACACCAGTAGGGATCAGTTTTAGGTCTGAAATTGTATAGCTGCTCTTGTGCCTAAAGACACTCCTTTGGCTCCTTCCTTACTTCTGTGTCACCTTTATTTTCCTCTTTCATCCATAACTTTCTATGATTCACAAGGCTACTTTGGAAAAGAGAGACAAAATCTAGTTGGTCCTTCTCTCCAGAAAATAAGACACAAAATTAATCAAACAGAAATGAACACAGAAAACCAAACAGGCATGATCAATAGATTCCTTTCCCCAACAGGGTCAGAGGTCTGCAGGGACAGAGCAAACATGCCGTTGCTTCTGCAGTGCCCTGGGTACTGCAATTAAAGCTGTCTCACGTTCCTTTGGAGAACATTGTCCGGACTGCCTCCCAGGGCTTTTCTGCCTTTCTGCTCTCTCCTTTCAGTTTCTCCAAAGGAGAAAGACGGGATCTGGCTGCTAGTGAATGTGACCTGTCCCCCCACATTTCTATTGCACGCTACAGGAGGTAAGCTTTTCCAGTCCTCTGCTGGCTGGTGACGTAGCCCAGGGTGTATACACACACCAGCACTGTGTCTTGGGGCTTTGAATGCCTTTATCTATGTCATACATTGGTTTTTACAGTTTGCTATGAATCACTGTTGCCTGCTGGGAACGCATACCCGCTTCAGGTTATTTTTGTTACAATGTTATAATGGGCACAAGGACACTTAAAAGTGGAACAACTGAGCATCTCCTGGTAGCCAGTGCTGAGCAGCTCTCCAGGGCTGCCTGAGAGCACCAAGATCTGCTGCTGAACTGCCTTATTGCAGTGAAAAGAAATGCATTCGGAGATTACAGCGTAGCATGTGTCCTGTGTAGCAGCTCTGCCCACGTGAATGGCAGAAAAATAGCTAAAGCCTTGGCTTAAATCCTGGCATACGTGATCAGAGACCTCAGTGGCATGTTGATGTCACTATACCATGCTGATGCTGTATGGTGATGCAAGGTTGAATACAAGGAATTTATTACTATAGTCAAAAAGAAAACACACACCCCAAGTTAGTTGAAAACCACACTCCAGGGCAGAGTGGGTTTTGTTTTGAAGGTCGTAGTGTATGAAGGACGTATTTTTCTGTTCCCAGATGGAGGAAGAAGGAACAAATAAACTAAATCTGGGAAATTGCAGTCAGCACTGCAAGGTAAGATGTTATGTGTTCAGTGAATTCTGAAATATTTCTTATAGGTAGGAAGCATGTTAGGAAATCAGCATATTGATAATGGTGAGAGAATAGTAAATGGAATGGTAGAAACAAGCAATACTACATACAAAATACTCATATCATCTGGAGTCCTGGTAGGGCTGGAGGTCTCATAGTGGCTGTCTATGTCACCTCCATTTTACAGAGAGATTCAGACACAAGAGAGGAACTGCATTGCTCAAGCCAAATGGCAGAGCTGGGACTAGAATCCAAGTCTTTTTATTCTTACTAGCAAGTGAGAGGGTAGGTTTACCTTAGTTCCAAATGACATGGTTCCGAGAGCATTCAAAGTAACTGAAGACAATTTTCTAACTCCATTCTGTGGGCTTTGTCTTTCTCCTTGGATTCTACTTTGTGTTTTTACTCTCCTGTGCCACCACAGGCAGAGCAATCATCACTTTTACAGAAAAATATTATGTCAAAACTCTGCCTTTGGGTACAGAAAGAGATGGCACAGAAGGGAAGCCACTGAGTCCAGCTGACTGGGGAAGTGGCCATGTGCCAGACTTCATCTTTTGTGGTAATAACCCCTTCCCAATGGCAGCCTAAGCTATTTGCCTGTCATGATTTGTCTTTCTGTGCTTGGGGAATGCTGGCTGACCTTTGTCTTTGATGTTGCTGGGCCCTTTCCTTGCAATAGGGCAGTTCAGGAGGCCATGACCACATCTGCTTTGGCTGGTTCTGTTATCAATTAATTTGTCCTGCCACATCAAAGAAGAGAGATAAAGCTGTAGCATTTCCTTACCACAGATTTTTATCTTCACTCCCCAGTTCACCTCATAACACACGCACCTTCCACCTCCACAGCTAGCAGAGAGAAAGACAGACAGAGAAAGAAAGTGAAATGACATCCTAATAGCCTCCCTTGAGCGCGGATGGCACCTGGGTCTCGGTGTGCTGAGCCTTCCACCCACTTCCAATCTGGCCTGGCCACTGCCAGTCGGTTGCTTACTCCCCCAACAAGTTATTTGCTTTTCTCTCTAGACAAATCAGTGATGTTAGAATGACAAATAGCAGTTATAGCTCTGCACTTAGCTGAGTATAATTTCAGCCCATCAGTACCATCTGTCTCCTTCTTGGGCTGCAGCTCCATTAAGCCAGAGCCAGAGATCCTCAAGGACAAAGAGCTGAACTCACATGGACAGATATTTTAGGGGTCAGAATATGTGACTTTTTGCCCTTTGCAGTTAACTCCAGTGGTGAGCTAGAAGAAAATAAGCTGAGACATAAATGTACCCCAATTTACAACTTTCCCATTGCTCTGCCACGCTGAACCTCAACTCTGCTTGTTCAGGAGTTCTGCACTTAGGGCGATGCTAACCACTATCCACACATGTCTGAAGATTTACTGAGTGATGCTGTTTGTCTTGGTTTGGGGACAGAATTCAGGTTTATTTCTAGGAAATGTTGTGCTCATTTGCTACTAATCATACGAAAGATGAGAAAATTCTGCTGTAGGGAAGTATGAATTAAGTAGCCTGTTCACAACAACCCCATCTGGTTTTCCTGAACCGCCTTGTTGTCCCCAGAGTGATTGTTTTTGTCTCATGGCCATTAGTAGGAAAAAGGACGCTTAAGGAAACTCCCATTCTCCACCCAAACTTCAGGACAAGATAGCTTCTGCACTGATTATTTCTTCCTCTGCCTCCTATAACACACTCTTCGAACCAACCTGACATTTCAAACTTCCTTGTTCTCGTTCTCATGAAGTTCAAACCCCTCATGTTCATTTTGCCTATCTATAATGTCTATCAGTAATTTATCTATCATCTCTTCCATCTTTGTCACCTGTTGTTTACCACTTGCCCTGCTGAAACCAAGCCATCTGTGTCACCTCCCAGCTGTATGACCTAAATTCCATGCAGGTCCCTCTGCATAGAAAATAGAGTAGTAAGGCATTTTAAAGAGTTTTCAGAGTTGCAGTAAGATGACTCAGAAGGCTGCAATAACAAGCCACAAGCTAAAAGGGAATGCTAGTGACAAGGATTTGTCTGAAGTAATTTGTCTCAAACCTTTGGGCCCTTTCCTTTTATGAGCTTAATTCCTATTTAGCCATACAGAAAACTGATCAGATTGCACAAAACAGGTTAGCTGGCTGGGCACAGTCTGAATGCTGTACAAGTTTGAAAATCTGGTCCTCTTGTATATACTTGGGTGTGGGACTATGGCTAGCACCTACAAATACTGATGCCCAGTTTTGGCCTCATGTCCTCAAACCTTTCTTTTATATTAGTTTATTTGTTCCCCTGCCTCCTCACCCCCTCCAACACCCCCTCTTTTTTTTCCTTTTCTTGGTTCTTATTTTTTTCTGAGGTGTCACATCACAGAATATGGGAGAAAATAGTTTTCATATCAGTACGCATGTGCTATGAAAAAGCCCTCTGTTCGCACCATGGCTGTGATGTCCTTCTTTCTCATTGACTAAAGGCCTGCACACCTTGCAGGATCAGTTGCATTCAAAAACCTGTCCTTCCAAATTTGTTTAGGTAAAGTGCAGAGTGCAGATGATTCCCGGAATAACTCTTCTGGTTTCATTTGGAATGACAGCAAAAAACAAATCTGCACCTTGCTTTTCATCTAATGGAAGGGCACAGGAGAAACAGTGAGAATATGTCATTGTTCGTAAAGGAGAACATTAGAAGAGAAAGAGCACAGGAGAGAGGCAGAGAGAAAAAAGAGAGTTTTTTTCCTATCAGCTAAATAAGGGCCGTTTGGAGGTGTGTGAGGACAGCAGGGGTCAGCAAGTGTTGGAACTGACTCTGAACTTCTGGCAGAACAATCTCCTGGAACTAAAACCAAGAATGCCTTTATCCTCAGCAACCTGCCGGGAGATGTTCCACAGCCAGCTTTCTCCACAAGAGCCAGGTTACAGTGTCTGTATATGAGAGCAACTGAAGCAAAAGCTTTTGTCTTTTAAAACAGAGTAGTTCACGAACAGCACAGTAGACTCCAACCCGAAACCATTTAATATCAGACTCTGAGCAAAAAGCCATTTGTAACGGAGGAGCCATAACCCATGATATTATTTGCCACATATCAGCAAGATGGTGGGTGCAGATGTTCCCACAGCACACTTAATTAGAACTGGGACAAATATATTAGAGAAATTAGGATTTCTTCAGTAAGGATCTAGCTCTACATGCTGATCTCTTTCAACTAGCAGGTATTTAATATATCTGTACCTCTTTTCACCCATAAAGTCTTTCCATTCAGCAACCTCATTGCATCCCTCTTTAGGAGTAAGGGCCATTGTCGCACTTGGCAGATGGGTGGTTTCACTGAAGTTTCCCATTACTTGCCTACATGTGGAGTTGGGCTCAGTACAAGGAATAAAGTCCTGACTCCTAGCCCTCTCCCACCAGCAACGTTCTTCTGAGCATGCTTTACCTAGCTATCAGGAACTTCGCGGGCAACTACGCAGACAGAGAACAGATTGCCCCCAAATGGTGTCTTCAATCACTCAACTTTTATCGCTGAGAGACAGTAGCTTCCCTCCCTGCCTCCTTGAAAAGCTTTTAAAATAAACACAGGTACATTAGAACAACAGCCCTTCAAAAGGGTCCCTTCCTCCCCCTCACCTTTCTTGCTCTCCTGTCATTAAGCAGAGCAGAGCCATCCTTACATGTGACATTTGGATAGATTGACTTAAGCTATTTACTTTAAGCTTTTCTCTCTCTCTTCCTCCCATTCAGGATCACTTTCATTCATTTTTGAAGTGTCTCAAATTTCTTTTGCTAAATCCACAGATAGGATGATTCGGAATGAAGCAGTGGTGCATATGCCATTCTGATAAAATCACAACCCTAGAGCTTCCCTACTCCTCTCACTCCTTTCTGCTTAGTCTCCACTCACTGATTCCTCTGGTAGGGTGAAAAATACACTAGGAGTGATAAGACAAATCTCACTTTTAGAAGCCAGTTTTATTTTCTTTATTTACAAGTAGCTTTGATGCTTAAACTACTCAGTAACTGTCTTCTGGGCTTAGAGTCAGTGGGTCAGACTCTGATTTGAGCTATATCGATAAAAGCAACTGCTTCAGGGTAACATCTTATAAATATGCTTGCTTTTCAGCTAATGTGCTCACCTGGTTGAGGATGCCTTCTTAAACCAAATCCTAACCCAGAATTATCACATTAATGTCAGTGGAACTGACAGGTGGCAGAGTTCAGACTCTCACCTCCATCATAAGGGTTTTCTCTTTGTCCCAGCAGCAGAAAACCATGAAGCAATTTTAGCACAGTCCTCTCAACTGACATCCTTTGGTCAGGAGAAGCCCAGGAGCTTTGCTGGATAGATTGAAGGTGCAGTGGAGTAGATGCACGTCTGAAGTGAGGATGTGCCATGCTGTTCAGAACTAAATCTGCCTTAAAGCCTTGAACAAAGCATAGTATTAAATTCTGACCCAGAATTATCCAAAACTAAGACCAAGGAGAGACAAATGCCTTGATCTTGCTGAATTCTTTTTGTTCACTCACATATTTCTGGGCTGTGGCCTTTAAAGTATGAGTGTTTGCAAAGGATGTGAGCACTTTGTTGCAAGGGAAGACCAAGATGGGGAGAGGTGAAATGCTGAGACAACTAGACTTATGTCTCTGGATTTGCTCTACTGTCATTTCCTTTGTTTTGCAGTAAATATTCACATGCTGTCAAGGCTAAAAGACATTGATGTCTACAGGAGTTAAACTGGTTTTCTAGGGAGAGCTTCAGACTCTCAGGGCTATGTAAGTCTCCTGCAGAAACCAAACCAGCAATTCAAGCCCATTACTGTGTGGTTAATGCAGGTTCCCCATGATTCTGTCTTTGCTTGTGACACGAAAGAAATAAGTGGACATGAGATGAACTGTCCATGCAGAGTAGATGGATACAGCAAGATACGCCATATACCAGAATTCACTGAAAGCTGTAGGAATTGAAAGGCTTCCTAAGAGTGAGACATTAAATCTTGTGGGCCCTTTTAGGAGAAAACCATGTTTGTCAGAGATGGATTCGGAATATTTATTGTTTCTTCAACTAAATACATTTTTCCCATGCTCATGCTGCTTTTCACGACGCTCATGATCTCATGATGCTCCCTTTTCACACAAGTTTCCCTATTACCATGGCTTACATAAGTTATGGCAGTAGATATCAGGACTCTATTATCACAAGAGTTGGAAAAAATCTACATACTACCCTGTTTCCATGAGCTTTGGCAAGCCATTCTCTCTCCCATTCACTCTTCTCTTATATTCTATCTTTCATGCTCACTAGCAACTGGAAGGCCTTGAGTACTTCCTCAAGTTTCTGTATTAATTCTAACTGGGAAAAATGTGGTCTAAATCACCTCTTTTCAGAACATGCAAAGGAGGAGACAAAGGGAAAGAATTAGAGATGCAGGAGCAGCGATGCAAAGCGGTGTCCATGTTACAGAATGGTCACATTGACATATGGTCGTTGAGTAACTTGGGACAGCAACTCGTGTTAAAGTGTTTTGTGTGCAGATAGAGTTTGAATTAGGGGAAATGCTCAAAATACATAAACAGGAACTAGTCTTGCAGAGAAGATAAGCCCTGGAGTAGGGGGCTGTCTCTTCCAATGTGTATTTAGTGTCTACCACAGTAGACGCTCATTTAAGAGTGTCTCATTTTGAGCCTCTAGATGCTGAGCCTCTTACTGTGCATACTGCCATAATACACATAACTACTTCCTTCCATTGACTGCCTTTTTGTTGCATTGTTTTGTGTAATTGACTCCTTTTTTCATACAGAAGCCGAAGAGTGATTATTGGAGATTGCCAGCTCCAGACCCGAATTGTTTCATTCAGGAAGTTAATTAAATCAACCCACTCTTTAGAAAACCCTTTCCAATATACTGTAGATGCTCCTTTCATCTTAGTGTTGCTTTTTTTTTTTTTTTTTTAAATCATTGCTCCTTAAATCATGGAAATAACTTGGCAAAGAAGCTGAATTACAAGAAAAATCAGTTAGAAACCAAGGTAAAGGCATATAATAGGTCTTTAGAGGAGAGGAATGAATTTAATTGAGTGAAAGCTCAGAAAACCCAAAAGTAAACTCAGGGTCATCAGCATGCTTCTTTCACTTATTCCTCAGTTGCACTTCATAGATCCAGGCTTCCTTTTGCTTTGCTGTTATCACACTTTCCTTTTGCTGTGATTTATTAACTGTGGAACTGTCAAATTATGGAACTGAGGTTCTAGAAATACTTATTAATGTTTGAGAAATTCATTTCACACTTGAATACTTTTTCTAACACTTACTAATGTCCCTCATTTTGGTCATGTGGGTCTACAGGCCAAGAAAACAAGGTATCTTATTATATATTTAGCATGTGGAGATGAAGGATGAAAAAAAGTTGCAGCAACTTTATGCATTTGATTCTTGTGCTGCTGTGTGTGGTGACTGTGGGTGTATATGCGCATAAGCAGGGCAATGTCTGTATGTTCAGTCACACCATTCTAGTTTCCTTTCAGTCACTATTAAGAAAGCACTTCTAATCCCCTCTGAGAAGCCTGAACATAAAATTCCTTTCATGCCAGTTTTGTCTTCTTCAATTTGGCAAACACTGACCTTCCCCCTGTGATTCCAATGGAACTTGTAATTCAAAAGGCATTTCTGTTTATTTTTACCCTGTTACTGTACAAGAATCATCAGGGATGCCAGCACTGCTAAAGCACATACTTACCTTCTGAGCTTTCTGTTGTGGTTTTGTACTGCAAAACAAATATTCAGCAAGCTATAGATAAAGGTTGACTACTTAATTCTCTATTTAATCAGAATGATGAACATAACAAAATTCCTGAGTAGATAACTTGACTCAAGATCCTTGAGAGTAATTTTTCCCAATTTCTTTCCCACACAGAATTTTCTGATGGAAATGGATTTAAAAAGTGCAAAGAAAGAACACCAATAATGCCAACATTTATAAATTCACAGGACTGAAACATCTCTGCTTATCTCAGAATGATACTCAGTTTTAGAAACATGTTATGTTAAAACAGTATCACGTTTAACAGTTCTAAATTGATACAATCTGATTTATTTAACATGAAATTTTCATTCAAACCGTAATTTTGCATAGAGTAGTGAGCATTGTGTTTCCACCAGCATTAATCAAGTCGGTTCAACATTTAACCTAATCTGTTCAAATGTACTGTTACTCTGCTTATTTAGAAAGTCAGCATCTGATAGGAAATGGCTGTAATACCTCTAGCTTTCCTAAAATGCTGACAGTTTCAACCGTTTCTTGAGAAACACTGAGGACTGCAGCTCCAAACAGATGCTTCTGCTTTAAAATGAGATCACCTTCTTTGGGTAAAATGGATGGCTCCTTGCAAATAAAGCAGTGATACCACTGGCAGAACACAGAAGGTTACCCAAAAAAACTGGGTGACCACCATACCTTCTTCTTCCTCAAGGTGTGTCTTCACAGTGCTTTTCTTTCCTTGCTGCTTTACTGTTACTGATGATGATTTCTTAAGGACCATAACATATTTTCTTCAGGCAAGTATTTCATGCCAGCACTGGGAACATGTTATTTTCAAAGGAGAATTTCTGCTTCGAAACACCAGCAATCATTTACAGCTTTTTATGTCTGATAAGCCACTCCTGATGAAAACTGATTGGAGCAAAAGAAACCCTCTACAATGCACAGGAATACATTGAAAGTTCAAAATGTCAGACATAACAGGAAAAAAAAAATAAACTTTTTGCATCCTTCCAGGTCTAGTAATACCATTTATGGATCAGTGAAAGGAAGAAAGCAGTGGACTGACAACAGTAACATGGAAGACATCATTTATTTTCTTACCTACTGTAAAAGGTCTGAATTCTGACTTGATTTAGTTGAGCACAAAGCCAACGATGTGTCAGGCTGGACTACTTGCTCTGTCTTGTCTTCTTTTTAAGCTGTGGACAAGGCTGGAAGTTAATGCAGCAGATAGAGACCAAGGCACAATTACAGCTGTCTCACTTGTGTACCACTCAGTGCAGATGTTTTCAAACCTGCCAATTTGTCTGTATGTAAACGTTTAATTTTGGTACACACAAAAATGCTCATGCAGGACTGTATCCCCTCCACACCCCAAAGTGTGTACACACAAATTCAGCAGATGAGATTAGAATGTGCCCATTGAAAGTCCATCTTTTGAGGGTCTGTCCATTTACTTTTTTCTTTGATCCCGCTCTTCAGCTTTTGTGCTGCTGCAAGCTTGTAGACTCGTGCTACATGAAGGTGCTCTACTTTCATCAGCTGACTATTGCTTCTTCCTTAAAACCACGCACAGTGGTTGCTATTCACTTTGCAAACTGCTCTGAATTTGATAAATGCAACTTTTTGTGTGGAACACATTTTGAAAGATAACCTTCATGAGCACTTTTAAACTTCAAGGGCGAGTTCTCCAGAAAATTATTTATTTGTTTTAATGTTCGTTAGCATCTGTGAATTTAACATAATTTCATAGACATAATTCACTAATCAATTCATTAATGATGATTTAGCTTGTTATTAATGTTTTCATTTTACAGAAGCAGATCTGATGCAGGTATCTGAAAGAAAGGCTCTTATTTTTAGAAAGGTTCACCCTGTAGAAGAACTCAGCTTGTTGAGAGCTCAGCTCTTCTAAAAAATCTGTCTACAAGGGTCAGAAAAAAACTATTAAAATGCCTGACACCTATTAATCTACTTCTCTTTAATGTATGTAACTGTGAACTGAGCTCTTTTGAAATCAAATCTCTCATACCTGTGAGATCACGTATTCGAAAATCAGTCTTGGTGTGCCCAAAAATTTGGCCCCACACTACAGATTCTTACACAAATAGTAATATAATACTTATTTTTGCTCCCAAAATATTTTACTTTAGGGAAATGCATCAGGAAAGAACAAAAGTAAAAGTCCTATTTGAGAAAGCACAGCATGTGCAAATTCACTATTATAGGCAGTAAAAGGTTTAAGAACAAAAAAAAGGAATTCTGAGATTTGCACACAGAGAGATTCTCATAAATTAGCTCAGGAAACTGAAGGTAGAGCCTTGCATGCTATGGGAGTCTGGTATCATAAAATATATTTTTAAAATCCTTTAACAGTATTGAAGTCCTGCTTGGAAACATGTATTGTAATACAAATGTTCCTTCTCTTAGCTTGAAAATCAATTGTGGAGCTCTTTTCTTTGTTGGAAATTAGCAAAACTCTAAAAAAATTGAATCAGTTCCCACCCTGGAAAAGTGAACGAAAGTACTTAATCCATTGGCATTTGTGCACAAAGTGCATTTGTTGTGCTGCTGAATGTAACACGATCTGAACCAAGGAAGGAGAATGAAGGCTTTGCGGCCCCTGATGGATTTCAGATTTATTAGACACTGGAATGTTTTTTTTCCCCCCCTTGTCTATAAGAACACGGTGTGTAAGATGATAAAGGGCAGAAATAAAGGGAGCAGACACTGTAGCCCTTAAAATTAAAAGAATCATTTCTAGATTTTGAAAGTGTCAGTGAATTAAAAAACAGCCTAAATATAAGTGTTGCATTATTCACTCTGCTTTCCTCTTGGAAAGAAAAATATTTTGCAGCCACTTGACAAAGCTATGGACATGTGACTGATATTACTTTTATTTTCCTATATGAAGAAAAACATCATCACAACACATAAATGGAATATTTATGCTGTAAGATAATACACGTGTACCTGTAAATTACGAGTGCAAGACGTAATAATTCATCTTTAGTTTCATTACTCATGCACTATTGAGCTTTCAAGATTAGCGATAGATTTGTTATGCCACTACATTCCAGTATATGTTTTCCCTTCCTTAACCCTCTCTCTCTTCTCTGGCATTCACATTCTAAAGAGTAGGGGCAATTTTCTTTGCACCAACACATACATACTGTATAAGCTATAGGGAACTGGCATCGTTTTCAAAGGACATATTCACGATCCATTTCATGACGCTAACCAGGCTGAAAAAAAATTAGCTCAGGGTGTAGGGATGTAATTTCAAATCCAGCTTTTGGGAAAGTCTCCTATTTAGAGAAGAGCTCCAAGGTGTAACATTAATAAAAAGCTCCTTCATTCCAATATTACAGGATTGTTCTCTCGAGCTGCCAGGATGGGAACCACAGTGGTCTGCTTATAGTAGTGGTAGTTTTGTTTCAGTATCTGTATGTCTCTTTGTGAGACGGAATAGCAAAAGTCTGGAATGAATTGCTTCAATAATTAGAATTCCTATGAAAGTGAAAACAACAAAACTATTCACTGAAAGCAAACTAATGTTTAATATATAAGCAGAGGAATAAACAAGCTCTGTTCTTCTATTTTTGAATCTGTATGTATTCTAAGTGTCTGAAGGCGATGTAAGTCTGACAGAAATGATGAAACCAAGGAGACAGTTTGGGCTAGTGTTCCAAGCACAGGGACTCCAGACTCCTAAAATGTCTGCTAGGGTCTGCCACTGAGTTATTGTGTAATTTGGGGTGAGTCATTCAAATTCTTCATGCGCTGATTTCACCAGTTTGTAAAATAGGTGTAAACCTCCCTCATTTACTTCAGCCAGCAAAAATATCTATAAAGCATCTGAGATGACATGTTACATTCAGGCAAATTTTTATTCACTGAGAAACTCGCTGTACAAGCTATATTTGTCCACAGATCTTTTTGTCCTGCAAATCTCTGCCCTCAGACACACACATCCACAGTCATGTCAGTTCTGCCTGAAAGATGAGATGAACTTGCCTTTACTGTGAAATCAAAAACATCATTCTGCCCCTGCAGAAGAGAAATTATTTTAACTATCAAACATCAAGTCTTTTCAAGGACACTATATAGGCCCAAATCTTGCTTGTCTTAATCAAGTGAGAGGTCCCAGTAAAAATCAGTAGGATGCTCCAAGCTATTAAGGAAAGCAGAGTCTGGCCTCTTGTAGAGCATTGAGGTAAAACAGACACACTACTGCAGTTTGCATTGGACAGTTCTCAATTAGAATGTCAAGATTTATAGTGTATTTTATCCGGTTTTCATTCTTCTCTGTTCACTTTAACTTTTGACCTATGGTTATTGGCAGAAGGGGGCTTGTCCCAAAGGGCCATTATTCCTCCTCCAAAGAGGCCTTCTAAGAAGTGCGAGAAAAAGAGAGTGGGAAGCCGGTCTCTTTGTTAACAGGACCCCTCCTCCATCTCCAGAATACTCACATACTCAGTGTGACAGTCAGGGTATAAGAAAACAGGGGTGTTTCTCGATTTTCTTGCAACAAGTTGCTGAGGTCTTGCACTTTTCCTGCTCTGTCCTTCCCTGCCAAGAGTTTGAATGAAAATAAATCGTGTAGAAAGAGTCAACATTGAATGTGACAAAAAATCTCCACAGTGCTAGGGCAAAAGAAAAAGAAGGTTATAAATGTGGGGAATCTATGCTGAGACCTGAGTAAAAGCCACGGGAAGGTGTGGCAGCCAAGTTCTCTCCAGAAGGCAGGAGTTCACAGGTCTCTCAGCCAACCCAGGATGTATCATCCTTCAAATTACATGATAGAAGAACAGAAGTAGCAGATCCAATCTTGAATTTGAACAAACCTGTATGGGAATTGATAGATTTATCCAGGCCATGTAACTCTGCCCAACGAACTCCATATGAAGGAGGTGATAGTTGTCTCAAAGAGAAGCCTAAATGGTGAAATTTTTTTAGATGAAATGTTAAGATTATAAATGTATCAGATGGGATTAATGATCTTGCTGTAGGACTATGCTTGTGATACAAAGAGCAGTATTGGAAATGCGTAAGGCCAGAGTATTCCATGGGAAGACCTGTATGATCTCAGACATAAGAGCATTAGAAACAAGATGAGATGTAATAGGATGAGATCTCAGGCTGTGCAATTTGGGATTAATGACAGCAATGCTCTGCAGCAAGCAAGGTGCTCCTCAGCTGGAGATGTCCTCACAGCAATGAGGTCCTTCCCATGGAGGGAGAAGGACAAAAATAACCTAGAAGGCTTTAGGATAGAGCTAGCTTCATTTGCAAAAGGGATTATATAACATAGTTGCCTCTAACAACAGACGACTAGTTTGATGAACCAGAAGGCCCCTTCCAGTCCTACTGTTCCTGCTATTCCCAAAGTTAAATTAACACCAACCTTGCCTAGCAACATCATGTTCTTCTGTGTGTGGAGAGGGAGTTTGCCCTGCAGCTCCTGGGATGAGATGTCTCTTCTTAAATGGGAACTGAAAAGCCTCACAATGAAACGAGCAAGCAGGAGAGGTGCCAGCTTAATATATTTTAAAAAAATTAATGGATTTAAATTCTCTGCTTTTGAGGGCAGAAAGACGTGTAAGACTGCAGTGTGCAGTAGGACACCAACCCTACATCCACCTCAGGAGCGGCTGGCAGCACTGAACAGCATTCAGTCCCCTCACAGGGCACCTGGGATCCTCTGCCAACCTGAAGCAAGTGGGGCAGAAACAGTCAGCCTGGGAAAGCCACTTTTCTCCATAAAGCCAGAGCTAGTTAAGTGTCTCCTACTTCTCCCCTCCAGGCCTGGTTTCCCACAGCCGTCCCCACCTGTCCTGATGACAGTGCCTCTGAAACCCACCACGTACAAATCCCGGGGCCTGACAGCAATCTCTCCCACCTATGTCATATCATACATAGATATATATTTGAATATAGGGTATGTGAGGTGAGATGCAACCCCTCTCCCCAACGCACACAGATCTGGGGAGGCTGTGAGGTGAGGGCCTGGCCTCAGAGGCAGCCATCCTGTGGTGGGAACACAAAATGGCGTCCCTCCAGCACAGGGAGGCCCAGAGCTTCTGTGGTTCCACCTCAGTGCCTGCCTTTGGTTTCCCTCAGGATGGGATTTGAGGCATAAATGACTTGAGGGG